ATCTTAAATTTACGTATTCAAGATGCCTTGAATATTATTTCAAATCATATTTCAAAAATTAGAAATTGTATTATATATATAAAAAGTTCAAGGGCAAGAAAACAAGAATTTAAATATTTATGTCAAAATTATGGTTTAAAATATAAACAATTTATATTAGATATAAAGCATAGGTGAAATTCTACCTATGTTATGTTAGAAAGTTGTATATTTCATAAACAAACTCTTTTTTATTTTTATAATTTAAAAATGCCTAATGATATGATATTTGAGGAATATTGAGAAATGGCAATTTTGTATAAGAGATTTTTTAAAACATTTTTATGATGCGACAAATGAATTAGTTGGAATTTATTATCCAACTAGTTATAATTTACCATATCAATTAATGATAATTAGTGATTGTTTTGATAAATATAGAAATAATTTATGATGTCGCGTGATCTAGTCACTCCTAGTTGACACTCACGTGGCTCCTGGAAGGTACCTGAGATGAAGAAGAAGAAGAAGAATCCCCGGGGGCTTGCCCGACGGGAATACTCTGATGCTTAAGTTAGTACTCTGTAGGAGAAGCAAAGAGAGGGCGAAGGCTAAGAGTGAAGATAACGCATTCTCACTATACTCGAGAGATTAGATGTCTCAAGAAAAAGTTTCTCTTCTGCCCTAAGGGCTTTTTTATGGGGCGCTCATGCTAGGTTGGGCATAACCGCCACTGAGCTCCTGCCACAGCCATTACCCGCCATGGCTGCGCAGGTGGCCGTTGTGACGTACTTCTTGCCCGGGTGAGTGTCACGTCTCCAAAGTGGCAGGCACGTCTTCGCCTGCTGAGAGACGTGGACGCAGACTGTCGAAAAGACGGGGACTGCACCATCAGTAAGGGATATGGCGCAATCCGATCGGTACGGCCTGTCAGATAGAAGCTTCCTGAGGTGCGCCCATGCGGCTTATTCGCGAGCTACTTTGTAGCGAGCTTGGAACACTCCAGGATTATCCTTAGTAGAATTGGTCATTGGGATGACTTCTATTTGGGAGCTCGGGCGAACTAGTAACTTCAGCTCGCGAACTAAAGTTGCCTTGAAGTATCTCTTCAAAGGTAGCTCGGGGGACCTGGAGCTCGCGTTGTGGCGAGCTCCTCCTTTTATGAGCTACAATGTAGTGGGCTGCTTTATGGGCCCGTCACTTGGTCGTACTAGGCTACAACGCTGAGCTGTCGCTCGTGTTGAGTCAGTGTCCATGTATCACCGTTTCATAGGTTGGGTCAAATTGTCCTCCATCAATTTACAATTTCAATGTATTGTTGAAATTATAGAAAATAAATTTAAAAAATATTGGGAGAATATTTTCTCCCTTTATTGTTTAGCAACAATATTAGACCCTAGGATTATAAAAGATGGTTTAGATATTTTACTTGAAACATATTGTGAAAATATGATATTGATATAGAAAATAAAAAAGAAGAAATTAATAATTTATTATTTAAAATGTACAGTTTGTATGAATCCAATGTTCATCATTTTCTTCTTCTACTTCTGACCTTGAGCCCAGTAGTAGAAGAGAAAAGCTTTTTTATTTAATAAGTAGAAGGCAGAAATTTAATTGAAACATATTGTGAAAATATGATATTGATATAGGAAATAAAAAATAAGAAATTAATAATTTATTATTTAAAATGTACAGTTTGTATGAATCCGATGTTCATCATTTTCTTCTTCTACTTCTGACCTTGAGCCCAGTAGTAGAAGAGAAAAGCTTTTTTATTTAATAAGTAGAAGGCAAAAATTTGTTAGTTCTACAACAAGTTCATTTACTGAACTTAATTTTTATATGCAAGCAAATTTTTCTAATTTAGGTGAAGTATCAAATAATTTTGATATTTTAGCATGGTGGAGTGAACACTCGAAAAATTATCCGATTCTCGCCGCCGGCACGTGATCTACTAATCCCTCCGGTGTCTACAGTTTAATCAGAGTCTTGTTTTAGTGCAAGTACCATGGTGTTGGATGACAAAAGAAGCTGCACGAACGATGAGAGCATAGAGATGTGCATCTGCTTCAAGGATTGGCTAGATGCAGAAGATAAATTACAAGACAAGGGAGGGCATGATACAACAAACATTTCACCCGAAGCAGATGATGAAAGTCATGAATGATGATTTATGAATTTGTTTACTTGTAGAAATTTTCATTTTTTCAAATTATTTTTAAATTTTATTTAATTTATTTGATATATTTTTTAATTTTTTAACAATGTAATTTTGTATTTTCAATTTGTAACCATATTGTATTTTTTATATTTTATTAATCTATTCCATTTTTATATTTCATTCATCCAAGTATGCAATGATCCAATCATTGTATTTGTAATTTATTAATTTGTACCATTCAAATTTAAATGAAATAAAGTTCATATTTTCCTTCCAATTTGTTATTCCATCATTCTTATTTCAATTTGGTTAAGTATTTTTTTTTCATATATGTATTGAGTAAATTAGATTTCTCATTTCTTAATTTTTAAATATTTTCTAATTCCCAAAGTTCATAGGAAAATTAAATATTTTAGTTTTACAATTTTACTTAGAAAAGAAATCAAAATTTTCAAAAAAAATGAAAAAAGCAGTACAACTCGGTTCGGCCTAGGCCCAAGGCTCGCCTTGTGGCCCAGCCCGGCACGGCATGAGCCCACTTGGGCCTGGACCATGGGCCATGTTGGGCTGACCTCCAAAATTTCCACTGTGGAGGACGACACGGCCCGCCTTTAGGGTGGGCTGCCCACGGGCCGACCCTTTAAACCTCTAGTGTCAAATGTAGGCTTAGATTGGGATGTACAAAGATTGTTGGGCTATAAAAGGCTAGACTTGGTTCAATTCAATTCAATCCCAATCCAAGTCACCCCTCCCCAATGAAGCTCGACTCGTGAGCCTAATATATATATATATATATATATATATATATATATATATATATATATATATTTTTTTATTTTTTATAAAATAACAAATCGAGCTCGAGCTTGCAAGCTTTTGAGCTGAGCTAAATTCGAGCTCAAGTCTCTAGCTCAAATCGATCTCGAGCTCAAACTCAAGCCTAACACTATTTTGGCTCAGCTCGGCTCAAATCCACCCCTACCCTAGTCGAAATCAATTTATAAAATAACAAAAGAGGTGTAAATCAGGTCGTACCGCTTGCGGCTCGACACGAACTTGGACCGGCCCGGCCCGACGGTCTATGGGCCGTGTTAGGGATTTTAGGTTCACAGGCCGGCATGGCACGACCGAGCGGGTTGTGCCACCTGTGGCCCGCAGGCTAGCACGACCCAACCCGCAAAACGACCATGGCATGACCCATATATATATTGTATATTATAATTATATAATAATATATAGTATATAATATATTAATAAAATAAATATTTTTTAATTTTATTATACTAATTTATTTAATTATTGCATATATAAGCAGTTTTATACACAAAATTCATATAAAATTAAAATTTTAAGTTTTTTGTAATTTTTTTTAAATAAATAGCTTTGACCCGATATATGGCCTGACTTGGCCCAAGGCTCGGCCCACGGGCCAGCCCGGCCCGTGGGCTATGCCGGGCTGACCCCCAAAATGTTCACCAGGTAGGGCGGAACAGCCTGTGATGGCCCGTGGTCCAGCACGGCACGGCCCGCACAAAGTGCAGGCCACCTACGGGCCGTGTTAGGACCCACTTTACACCTCTAGCTAGAGGCATAATCATTTTCCCCTTTGGATCATGGTTCATTGGTTTGATACATTGGATAAAATCAATGAACCTGTGATATATATATAGTCAATTTTGTTTTCTATACAAATAAGCGGTAGGGATACTTTTGAAATAAGCAATCACAGACCTATGTCTTTAAACATTTTTCATTCAGTTTAGGTGGTCATGTTACTATTTTTAAATGGAAAAACAAACACTTCTTAGTGAAAGGTTAATTAAGTAAATAAATTACAAAGTATAGGGGTATTTTAGTACAATGAAAATTATAGGGTAGATTTAAATAAATCTTGGGTGTTCTAGCTAGTAAATGATGACCCTATATATTATTAATATATAATATGCAGAATTATATAATATATTTCATAGAAATATTAGCTATATACATATATTCAAAATATATAATTATATTTTGCATATAAAATATACTTTTTATTTTAGTTTTATTTTTTATATTAAAGTTTAAATTTGAGACCAAAAGACGTTTTCTGGCAAAAATAGTGGGGTGAAGCACCCTTCGGGCCATTTACACCCCTACTTGATTCATTTGTTTCAGATTCAAATCTTGTTTATTCAATTTATATTGCTCTCCTACCTTCCCAACTGTACAAACACAAAAATTTCTGAGGTGGAGGAATCAATGCCCCCCTTTGATCCGTTTACACCTTGTTAAATCATCTTCAGATATTTTTAAACCATCCAGGCCTGCAGCCCGTGATGCTGTCATATGATAAAACTACGAACAAACCTGAAATCACAGATTTCGCCACAGATAAATTTCTAGGAAATCGCTTTCTACCATTTTGTTTGAGTACCCCTAAGATGCCTTCTTGCATTTGTAGTTCTTGGCACAGAAGATGTAAACCAGCAGGTTCAAGAGGCTTAGGCCAGCTATGAGCAAGAAGAAATGATCAAGATGCCCCTCATTCAGGTTATCAGGTATCCATCCGGGCTTTCCGCCTTTGGTCGTTATTGTTGTTACAATGGTAAGAATAAAAGAGCTTAGGTAATTACCCAATGCTGTTGTAAGCAGTGCCAGTGCACTACATAGACTCCTCATGGCATCTGGAGATTGATCATAGAAAAACTCGAGCTGCCCAATGAAGGTAAATATTTCTGAAGCCCCCACTAAGACATACTGAGGTATCTGCCAGAAAATACTAATTGGCACCACCTCCCCATGGTTCACCAAACCGAGGTCCTTTGCAACCTGCAACCGTTTCGTCTCTACTAATGCAGCTGCTATCATGGACAATATTGATATAAAGAGGCCAATACCCATCCTTTGCAACTCTGAGAAGCCACTCTCAATACCTGTGAACTTCCTTGCAACTGGGACAAGGAATCTGTCATAGATTGGGACCCAAACAATGACACTAAATACATCGAAAGTTGATAGAGATGCTGGAGGAATGGTGAAGGAACCGATGGTGGTGTCCATAACCATTCCCTGTTCCACAAACATGGTAGACATCTGAGCATAGACAGCAGAGAAGACAATGCCTGTAGCCCAGATAGGAAACATGCGGATTAGTATCTTCAACTCCTCCACCTGTGTTACAGAGCAGAGTCTCCATGGATCGGAAAATCCATCATTTTTAGATTCAAGATCTGTCACCAAAGCAGCTTTGTCAAGAAACCTGTGGCAGAAAGGAAATTGCCCATCAATATCAAAATACAGAACATTCAGAATTAATCAAGTAAACGAACTGAAAAAAAAAATACATTCAAATGAAATGCGAAGGTTCCCTGTATAGAAATCCTAGTTTTGTACACTATTTTTATTGTCCTTGGATTTAATACTAGTATAATAGATTGTACAGTGGGTATCGTGTATGTATCTTGTTTTTGGTTTGTTCTTTTAATAAGAGGCATTTATGCACCATTTGCCGTAATAAATAAAGCTTGGTCTCTGGGATGGGGGCATTCATTCCAATACACCCCTCCTCCCTACTTCATCTTATCCCTCTCAGCTCTAGCTTGACGCCTTGGATGATTGACATGGTATCAGAACCATGGAAACCTGATTTGTTCATGTGAATCACAAGAGCCAAACTACTGACAGGTACAGTTGATGTCCCATCTAATTAAGTGATCTTTCTTCAGTCCCCTGCTTCCCAAAGAAAATCCCTCATCAGTTTCTCTAACCTCTTCACAATGACCTGAGGCATCTTAAAAGACTAACAAATAATAAACAGGGAGGTTAGCTAGAGTGGATTTAATAAGCATCAACCTACCACCCAAAAAAATATGGTTTCTTTTCCAGACTACTAGCTTCTTCTCAGACCTCTCTACAACAGGGTTCAAAAAATTGTGGACTCTAGGGTTGGCACCTAGGGGAAGCCCAAAGTAGGTCATTGTCCATTCACTACATGGAAAACTCAATATTTCTGCATTTGACCCCATCTCCTCACTCTCCGTATTGACTCCCACTACCAAACTCCTTTCCAAATTCACCTTCAAATTGGGCAGCTTCTCGAATAACCCATTGGCAATTTTCCCTGTCACAGAAAATTATACCATTAGCAAATCATAAGTGAGTCACTACAATATATTCCTTCCCACCCTCCACCCTCTAATTAATTGCAACCTATCAACTTTCAGGATCAATCTACTGAGAACGTCATCAATTCAATGACTAGTTCAAATAAACAAGGAGGTGCTGAGCCCCGGTGAACTCCAATAGTAACCGGAAACTCTGATGTCTCTCCCACAACTGTTTTAACAACATTGGCACTCTTTTCCTTTCTGAAGCCCACCATATTCTCTCCAGGGACTCTTATCATATGCTTTCCCTAAATTAATGAATACCATATGAAAATCTCTACTTTTCTCTCTTCTATCAATCATCTAAATTAAAATATATTGCTTCCATGTTTGATTTCTTTGGCATGAAACTAAACTGATTTCTAAAACACTTGTTCCATGTTGTAACCTATTCTCCATTACTCTCCTCCAAAGTTTCACAATATGGCTCATGAGTTTAATCCCACAACAATCATTACCACTTTGTATGATAGTTTTCAAGGTGTCAGATGAGACTAGGCAATAGGGTGTTGTTTCTTGTTGCCAAGCCATCTGAGTGATGGATCTTTTTTCTTAATAAAAATCATAAATTATAGGATAAGTCCCTCGGTTCCATAGCAACCAGCAACCATCTTTCATTGACAATTGTAAGTAATCTTCATAAAAAATATACATTTCATATTAATACATAGAAAATCAACATATTTTAAGAAGAAAAAGAAGGAAAAATAAATTTTGTCCTAGACTCCTAGGAATAGAAGAAAAAGGGTGGATTAAGAAGAATGTGCTGATTGGACAAAATTTTAAGTTCTTCCTTGCTTATCATTCAGGTTTGAACTCTTCAAGGGTTTAAGACAGCATATACCAATATTTGTGTTGATTGAACCCTAACGAGTAGGAAATAATAAGAAGAAACTAGTATATAAACCAACAAAAAGAATAATTTAGTTTAATAATGTCTGTTTTATAATCTCAAAGAATATAGAGTGTAAAAATATTTCATAGCACCATGTGCAAAATAGCTAGGTTCTTAAGCAAGCCAACCCTCCATGGGTGCCGACGTGCTGTGTTACCAAGGTGTTGCCTCGACAACTACACTTTGTATTATAACTATTATTTTTACATATAGGAACCACAGCGCTCTTTCTCCATTCATCTGGCATGCATCTTATTGAATAGTTTAGTTAGCCAATAACAGGCACACATCTCCCATGCCTTTACAAACTTATTGGAGTACTATTAGGTTCTAGTATCTTTCCCTTCATCCTACATAAATCCTTCTTCACTTTGGAAATTTTACTCAACGGTAAAATAATTACTTGAAATGGTTTTAAATATGTCAAAACATATTATAAATAGATATACATGACAAAAACAGAAATATATGTCTTTATATGCACAACAAAGGCTGCTTAAGAAGTTAAATGCATTTTGCACTTTGAGGCATAAGACTCAAGATTGAACCTCAAGGTGAGCCTCATAATCTTTCAAAACAACAATTAGAAACACAAGTAACTTGGCTAATGCAACATTACCAAGACATGGAAACAGCAAAGGGTATACACTCAATCTAGATAATAAGTCGTTGCGCTAATGGGGCAAAAAGTGAAGGAAAATAATTGGTTTAAATTGGTCTTTTACAAACACAATAGTTTGTTATAATTTGAAATAATGGAAAACTTACTTCAGTTCATCACTATGCTCCAATTTCCGACTCCCTTCAATAGCAGAGGTTTTGTTTGGCAATTCGTACAAGAGAGAACTATCACGAGGAAGTTCCAAATTCCACTTTCTGAGAGATGCAACCACAACTTGACAAATTCTTGTAAGAGGGCTTCCACCTGGCTTCTGAAATCTATAAAGAGACGTGCCTGAGAGAAAACTTATAATGGCAAGACCCATGAACACTGTAGGTATACCAAATCCAAGGCCCCATCCAAGATTATCTTGTACCCATACAAGTAAACTACTTGATATGAGAGCCCCAATGTTGATAGAAAAGTAAAACCAATTGAAGAAAGATCCCTTCTTAACTCTCTCTCTTCGATCAGTATCATCAAACTGATCTGCCCCAAAGGATGAAACACAAGGCTTAATCCCACCAGTCCCTAGTGCAATCAGATATAGCCCAAAAAAGAATATAGCGTACTGTGCTGGAGTTGCCACTGGGCAAAAAGACCCCACACATGAAGGAGGCTTTAAGGCAGGAATTGAAGCTGAGAGGGTCAAAGTACACATTCCCTATACAAGCACAAAATTTACATCCAATAAATTTGTCTTTTAAAAGTAAAACATAAGAAAATTATAGATTGATGCAACTAGAACCAATAAAGAAATAAGAATGAATGAGGCATACTCTATAAATCTTACTCCACATCCCTCAGGCATGGTCCACCCACTAATTTAGTTGGTGACCACTGATTGGAAACATTAAGGGTCTGAAAAACAGGGAGATTTCTATAAGTAGGACAGGTAATATCTTTAATGGGTAATACAAGAGAGGCAATATTCGTTGTCTCCTAGCTTCGTTCCATTCAAAAATCCAAGTTTTACCTCTAAACTGGACATGTAAGACTCCTTATTGTCAATTAATGCAGTTTCTTTGGGTTCATGGGTTCACAATGATGGTCTCGCATAAAGCATTAAAGGATAGTGCTTACTCAGGAAAATAAATCCTTCTTTTTTTGGTGAGAAGGATAATAAATCTCAGGTTCATCATATATGAAAGAAATCAATATCTTAATATTTCAAATAAATAAAGAGAAAAACATTTTGAATATATAGTTACAATAAAGTATATTGTGGAGAAAACTGCAATTGTCCTGTATCTTCCCCAATATGCATCTGCTAAAACTGCTCCAATGAGGGGTGCAAGGTAGCAAGTTCCTTGCCAAGTTGTAACATTTCGTGCAGCAGATGCATTTCCTTCATGTAATTTATTGGTCAGATAAGTGACAAGGTTGGTTGCAATTCCATAGTATGCCAAACGTTCGCTGCATTCATTACCTGTATTTTTCACACTTTTTAGAAGAAAAATGGGCTTTAGCATATATGCAACAGAAACTTAAACAATGTTGAGAAGTTGGAATACCTAGAATAAAGGGACATGCTCTCCAATTTCCAGTCTTATGCTTAAGAGCTGGATCTCCATTGATATCAACCGATCCATCTCCGGTATATGGTCCTCTGCTTCTTTTCTGAGGTATAAAAGGAAACATTACATATAAGTCTAGCAGTCTTGTTCTTTTGGATTATTTTTATTTATTTATTGGTGATTCTGTGTTGGGAGGGGTTGAATACAGGTGAATAAGGCCTGATTAAAATCAGTAAAAGAGGAGAAAGGGGACTGTAAAAAGAAGAAATGAAGTAGAGGAGATGACAGAAATAAAAGAAGAGAAAAAGTGGTCTGTTAATTGAAGAGAAAATCTAACACCCAGTCGGCCAAACTCCTTTATATTATATAACCATACACTTACATCAAAGTAAGCATATAATAATTCTGCATTTAAGTAATAAAAGATAATTTCCACACTGCCCTTACTTGAGTAATAAACTAAGATTGACTACTTTACTATTCTCTAAACAACCAGCAACATAATAGCTGTAAACCACAAGGGCGAGTTTACTCCCAATAAACACCCCCTCAAGGTGATGGATATATCTTACAAAGACCCATCTTTCAAAAAATAAAGTCAATATGGGGTCTATTCAATGCCTTAATAAATCTACAAGCTGGTTGTCTAACTTGACAAATGGAGCATTTACTTTATTGCTTTGCACCTTTTCATGGATAAAGTGACAATCTACCTCAATATACTTCACCGTTTCATGGAACACTGGATTTGAACCTATAGTATAGCAGCTTGGTTGACATGTGAAGATGCATAGGAAGTAAGGCAGGAAGAGCTAATTATTGAAGCATACTTTTCAGCCACATAAAGTTCACATGTTGTAGGACCCATAGCTCAGTATTCAGCTTCAGCGCTAGACATAGCTACCACAATCTACTTCTTGCTTTTCCATGTAACCAAATTTCCTCCAAGAAACGTGTAATGACTAGTAGTTGATCAATGATCTGAGAGTGAACTAGCCCAATCAAAATTGATATGACTTGAAACTGTTTTTTTTTTCCGGAAACTGTTAAGTGGCCATGATCCTTGTACATAATTCCAAGCCCTAAAGATCCCTTCAAGTACTAAAGTATCCTAGATACAGCATTGAGATAAGGTACTCTAGAAGTACAAGGGTTCATAAACTAGTTAATCAATCATACTAAACATGAATGAAATGTCAAGTCAAAAATTAGTTAGATAACTCAATTTCATAACCAACCTCCTACACTGATTTTTATCATCAACCAACTCCCCTAAATAAGATACAAACTTGGCATTTAGATTCAGAGAAGTAGGGTTTATAACCTAGCATACAAGTCTACTCAAGTAAGGAGACATTCAATAATAGCTGAAGTGGCTGAACTGAAAAACTTATTTCTTAGTCTTTTAGTGGATAAATTAATTAAATAAATAAAATCTTCAAAGGTAAAGTAATCAAACTGTTGACAGGCTGACATTCCTTTTCTTGTTTACTATTGAACCTTATATTGTGTTCTTTCAATGTGTGGTTAGCAGGCTGTTCGTGGCACAGAGTTAAAAATAGGAATGCAGGGTCTATTATAAAGTAACTTTTGCTCCCATTGCAAAGATGGTAACATTAAGAATTGTCCTTGGACTTACATCTGTCAGTCATTGTATGGATTTAAATAGGCACCCAAGGCATGGTTCAGGCAGTTCAGAAATGTTATTACTAAGATTGGATATGCCCAAAGTTATTTTGACTCTTCCCTGTTCATCCACACAAGTGCCTTGTGCTCAAGGGTGGAGCCAAGGGCGGCAGAGGGTAGGGCTGCTCATGGTTCGGTTAACCAAACTGTGGGCCTATTTTTCAAACCAAACCAGTACTACCCATTTTTGGAAAACCGGAAACCAAAACTGAACCAAATCCAATCAGTTAACTGCCAGTTCGGTTCATTGTTTTTTCGTTTTTTTTATATTTATAACATATGTATTATAAGTAAATATATAAATATATAATAAAAATACTAGAAATACATATAAGATATAATATGACAAATATAATATATATATATACTGATCAATTCAGTTAACCGTTGGTTTTTATAATGGTTAACCAAAACCAAACCAGTACCTTCGGTTTTTTCGAAAATACTAAACCGACCGGTCTGGTTAACCGGAAATTTTTGGTTCGGTTTTTGATGAGCACCCCTAGCAGAGGGGATCCATGGTCCCCCTATGCCTTAAAAATCCCCACATTCCCCATTTATATCTCACTTGTTTTTTGGCCCCCTCCATTTTTTTTGTGAGAATGACGGTTCAGCCCAGGGTCAGAATTTTTAGGCCCAAAGTACAGTTGGGGTGGGTGCCAGCTCGGAATTGATGCCAATTCATGGGCGGGCATTAATCCTGGCTCAACTCCTGCTTAAACGTAATGTTTCTTTTGTCGTATGTAAATGACATCTTTATTACAAGTGATGATCATTAGGGCATTAAACAGTTCAGACTACTTATAGTTAGTCCTTTAAGATAAATAACTTCTGCCCCTTGACTTATTTTCTGGTGTTGGAGATTCATTCCACTCCTTGTGGATATGTAATGAATCAATAGAAGTATCCTAAGGACGCTCTAAAGTTTGCTAATTTATCAAACGACAAGCATGCCACAACACCTTTAGAGCTAAATGTGAAGTATTCCAAAGATGATGGTGCTTCTCTTTCCAGTCCCACACTTTGTCAATAACTTATAGGGAGCCTCATATACCTCACCATGACTTAATCTGATATTGCGCATGCAATCCAAGTTATTAGTCAGTTTGTATCTGCTTCTTGCCAATTACATCTCAAAACTATACATTGCATCATTCAATACCTCCAAGGGACAACATCTAGAGGTTTATTCTTTTCTTCATCCTCACCATTCCAGCTACAAGCATATGCAGATGTTAACCATGCTGGATGTCTTGACATTAAATGTTCCAAGACTAGATGGCATACTTGGTGATTCTCTCATCTCCTAGAAGTGTAAAAAGCAACTTACAATTTCTAAGTCTTCAATAGAAGCGAAGTATCATACTCTATTAGGGCAGAATCCAGGGCAGTGCTGTATGGGTTAAGGATGGCCAAATCTCTCAACTTCAAAGAGATACGGGTATAAAGAGATGCCAATGTAATATTGGCTTGGATCAGCAATGACAAAGTGGGATCATGGACATATGGAAACTTGATAAAGGAAATCAGAAATGTCATACGAAATTGACACATAAAGTGGATTTCAAGGTCAGCTAACTCTTTAGCAGATAGGTTCAAATTGATATCTCCTCGCATATACCACTTCATGCAAATAATATTATTGTTATCTTTATTGTGTCTATCCAGTATTCCATGAGTGCATAGAACACATTAAAAGGGATTATCTAATGTAGGACACGGTAGGGGTCCTACAAATTTTAGATTCAGTAGTGGACTTTGTGGGGTATGGAGAGGTTTTGGGTGATTAGCAATGAAGAATAGGGATACAAAAGCAAGTAAACAGCTTGCTGTCCACCACAGAATGAGCAAAAGACTAGAAAGAAGGAAAAGAAATCTTGTTGTTAGAGTAGACAGCAAAGGGATAGATCACTTAGAAAAAAAATAGGAGACAGAGAGGGAATTAAGAGAAAAATTCCTGGCAACAACCTGAGTTCACTAAATTAAACTTTAATTCTTCAAATCAACTCTTCTTCAATTGCAATTATAATGAATATTTATAGACTAAACATATGAACTCAGATGTCCTTTTATAAACTAAGACATATGCCTGGATGTGCTCAAAAAACACCCTTAGGCTTATGCTGGCAGCATGGATGCCCCTGAGGGCTGAGGCGTAAGCCTCAAATGCATGAAGCATATGCCTCTTTGTTAAGCCTTATGCACCTTATCCATGCCTTAATAAAGAAAGAAAGGAAGGAAAGAAGGAAGGAAGGAAAAGAAATGAAGAAAAGAAGAGAACAAAAGAGGAGGCGTATGCCTCTTACATAAAATGCCATTTATTCAACATCAAATATAATGTATCTTTGACATATTTCACATATACTCCTATCCTTGAAGAAAGCTTGTTTCCTACACTTCAACAACGAAATAAAGGCAACATAAAGAAATTATACTAATGCTGTATTGCTGTTATGTAAGAATCCAGTATCATGAAACTGAACTGTTACTGCACATAAACGGGAAATGCCATCAAAAGATACTAAACAGAAAAATAGCAAGATTCATAGGAATTCTAAAGCAGAATTAGGATGAAAGGATATTATTAAAAATGCCATATTAGGCGTGACACGGAAGTATTCTTTTTACTTGTATAATGATATGACAAATGAAAATGCACCAAAAACACAATTAATGCTACTTACATCCAGAATTGGCATTATATATATTTTTTAGCCAACAACAAGAATGGATCAAAATTGGAATCGGGGTAAAAAAATCACAAATTCCACGAATCCTACTCAAAGAGAACCCGAGAAGATATCATGGAAATAAGCAAAAATAGCAGCCATCTAATAACATGTTGAAATCAAGATTGATGAAGTATACTTAATTCCTGATACATAAGAATTAAACTACCGAGACAACTAAACATCATTGGAAACCCTGAGATGTCATAACCAGAATTTGTGTTGCTTTCTTTTAACCGCTAGGAAAACCTCTTCTTTTCCATTCCTACCAGCTTACAGTCTTAGAAATTGACCTAAATATATCAACAATTGAAACAAACCAACTGCTCCCATCTCCATTAAAAGTTCAAATAAAAAAAGAATGAAATATGAAGTTTCATAACACAGAGTCGAGATCGTGAAAACAACAACTTTAAGAAACAATGTTCAGCAAAAAATAGAGGAAGAAATGTACATGAAAAAAAGGGAAACAAAAGCAGATGTAATCTTTCTAACCTCCAAGAGCAATGTTTCCTCCACTTGAGAATTCATCACTCAGAACCAATAAAATCAGATGCTTCTTTTTGTCAGATTCAACTGCAATCTAAAGAATAAAGAACGGTTAGCAGTTAGCTCTTATATAATACGAGTTGGTTGGTTTTCAATTTTTCCGCCATATGCCGAGACCGTATCCGCTCTTAACAAAAACCTTTCCAACACGCTCCAACATGATCCGATCCGATCCTATTTTATCGAATTTGGATATTCTCGTTTCATATTTATTTTACTGTATTGGATCGGGGTCGGATCACCCCTATCCGATTTTCTATAATATATAGCATATTAACATTTATATGTTATTTATTTATTTATAAATATATTATTTATATTGTAATTTTGTAATTTTTTTATATTGCAAAAAATATGTATGTACATAATGAAAATAGTTGATTTTTTTTGTTTTTCCTTTATTTAAACTGTTATATTTTCCTTTTATTTTAATCATTTATATTTTTAACAAAAAATTAAATTGGATCAGATCAAATTCAAATATCCAACATCCTTATTGGGTTCGAATTCAAATTAATATTTGTGAGATTCAATCGGATAGGATCTATAGTTTATCGGATTGGATTTGGATATACCTTGATACAAATCTGATCCGATCCATTTGCATCTCTATTTGTGTCTGGACATCTATGTTTATAACATAGAATAAATTGACTAAACCAAACCGATTCGACCTGAAGTGGTTGGTTTTAAAATAAAATTGGCTAGTTCTTTGATAAATGTTACAAACCGATGAATCAATTTGGTTATAGGTTACACTATTATCAAGACAAGGCCCAGTAAAGCTTTACACTATTATAAGATAGGGTTGGACTATGATATGGAAAAGATATGATTTCTGAAAAACTTCTGATTAGTCAATTAGAATCATAAATGTGATAGCCAATCAGGTGTTATTTATCAAAATTCATGGGTGGGTTTTGATTGGTCAAAATTCTTCCCATATCATATCTTTTCTGCATCATGGATTTTCCCTATAAGACATTATATTATTATAGGGAGAGAATTAGAGAAAGAGAGAGAATTAGAGAGAAATATTATATCATTAAAAGAGACAATTAAGAGAAAGTGTTAATGACAGAGAGCAATTATATTATTAGAGAGAGAGATTTGGGTATTTTAGGCCCCTTAGGGAATGGGATTCCCATTTCTTAGTCTTAAAGAGTACAGAATTGATGACAAAAAACCCTTGAAAACCTAATATTGATAAACAATTAACAAAATATTAATAAAATAATAGTACTATAATAAAATATACAAAGATATTAGTTATTAAATATAATAGTAATGTATAAATAAAATATTAGTACAATATTAAAGTAATAATAAAATACTAACATATTAATTGTTAAATAATTATATAAACTAATTTGAAAATAATAAACAAAAACAATAGAATGTTAACAAAACTAATAATAAAATAATAAGTTATTACTAAAATATAATAATAGAAATATTATTAGTAATAAAAATAATAATATATTCATAAAATTAGTTAATAAAAAACGAGAGAGAGAGAGAGAGGGGGGGGGGAGAGAAAGAGAGATCCCACCTGATGGTGCACAATCTAGATGCTCTTAGCTGGAGGGCAGCTCGGACATCGATCTACTTTGCTAGCTGGTCAAACTGAAAAAGAGGAAGGCTCAGAGGACCCAGGGTGGGTGCTTCGATGCTTAAGTTAGTACTTTGTTGAGCGAGCCAAATGCTTGTATGCTAGTAGGCTAGTGAGCAATAAATCGCGCGTACCTTGTGTCGTTGGGGTTGATGCCCTTATACATGTGAGATGCCATATGTCTCACAAAACACCTCCGAGATCTTCGGCCCGTGTTGTTAGGAGTTTGTTCTGCACCAAGAGGTGGACTTCATGCTAGCCGATAAGGCTTATCGAGTCCATCCAATATGAGCAGGATAAGGATAAGACACGCAAACGTGTGGCGTGATCGTGAAGAGGTCAGAGATAGTTAGCTTGCTTTTAGAAGTTGGCTACGTGTCACCTCGGCAGGTAGGGTCATCATGAGCTACTCGGACTTCGGTCCTGACTGAGGTGCCCAAGGTAACCTGGCTCGCTAAGGTGGTAGGGACTGCCAAGTCAATGCCCAATCAGCAGGTTGCTTCCACGTGTCTATGCATGAATAGGTTGGGCCAAATCACCCCCTCATCACCACCATTTCCACATTAACCTATTTTAGCATATTTCTATTGGCGTCTTAATTTTACTCTCCTCCAAGTTTTTATTTCATATTCAAATTCTATTCAATTGGTTAACTATTAGAAAATTATAATTTGAAACCTAAAGTTAATAAAAAATATTAAAAAGTCAAAAGTTAATAAAAATATAAATTTGGCAAGGTTTTATCTAGCAACTATTAAAAATTAAGAAATTAATAAAAATAGTAAAATTAATAATAAAAAGTAACAACTATAAATTTCCAAGCTTCAACAACTATTTTCTTTTGAGTTAGGTCTAGCTCAGATCTACACCAAACCCACAAATAATGCATACAATAGGATGCTCAAATTTGGATTATATCTAGCTATGTCTACATCAACATCAGATCATGAAATCTCTAAATCCACATCCATAACTGATTATTATGTTGGATTTCGAATTTCATCGACAACAATCTTATTGTGTTTTAAAAGGAACTAATTATTTTTAAAGTATATATGTATAACAATTAAAAAATGCATATAAATATAAAATATTAAATTTATTAATTATAAGTTTTATATAATTACACACAATATCCATATGTATGCATAATTATACTACATATATATGAAATAATAAGTTTTTATTACATGCGGATTTTAATTAGATAGGATGGGGTTAAATCCGCATCCAACCTCATTATTAATCAAATTCAAATTATAACATCCAAATCTAGGATTATTAGATTCTAAGTCTACTTGGGTATCAAATTAAATATGACCAAAGTTAAGCAACCCCTAAGCTCAACTTGGAAGTTGATATGCGTGTATATATTATATATTATTTAGATAACAATTTTATATTAATATATAGATAAAAATGTTATATATTATTTTATAATAGACTAAAATTAAATAAAAATTATGATTTATAAAAATCATAATTTTATAATTAACACAGGAAAGTCTGTCCATGTCCTTGGCCCAAACAAATATTATTATGCTTGAGGTGTGGGTTAGACTAGGCTAGACAACCTTAAAAATTGTTAATTGTTAATGCACGCTATCAAAATATTTCCTGAGGTCTTTTATTTTTTGTGTTCAATGAGCTACACAGTGCATGGGAATAGCCCATCCCCCATACCTATTTACAAAAAAATAGTAACATTTAATTATTGATAATAAAGTAAAATAAATAAAACAGAACACTAATAGATAATATGGAAAAAAGAATTATTTTATTAAATAATTAGCAATACTTTATTATTTCTGTTAAAATTATTAATATAATTAATCTAAATTAGTAAATTATTTTCTTAACAAATGATTAAAATAATGATTAATTGTTTTAAACAACACTGCATTCCTTCTTTAGTTATAAGTTTCAATTGTTTCACTTTCCTTTGATAAACCACTTTTATCATCTCTTACCTTTCATTTTTCTTTAATCATTAAAATATTAAATATGTTTCTCAGCCTTGCCCTCTCACTCCTAACATGTAGCATCATCTCTCTCTCTCTCTAACTTCTTTTCCCACATTGACTGATGGTACACCTAACAAATCAATCAAGGTTATTATATATATATATATATATATATATATATATGTGTGTGTGCGCCCCACATATATATCCTAAACATCTTTCTTTATTTTATAAAGAGAAGTACGGACAGGCCTAATGCAGATTTCTGATTTTTACTACAGAACTATAAACATTCAAAAGGTCAAAAACCCATACTCTGCACCTAATACCCACCCCTGAATTGGCATCAATTTCGAGCTGGCACTTACCCCAAATGTACTTTGAACCTACAAATTCTAACCCTGGACTGAATTGTCATTCTCTCTATTTTATTTTGCTAGGTTGACCATTGTAACCAACCAAAATATAAAATATTTTCAAACTTGGTTTTATACTATTATGGGTCGGTTTTGGTTGGCCTAGTAACAAACCCAACGGTGTCAGTTCGGTTGGAACAAATAGGTAAAACCAAACTGACCCGAACCATGTACAGCCCTACATCTCAGCATGAAACTAGGACCGACCATGTCTGAGATGTGTGAATACAGAACATGTTGCAACGTCTTGGAATGGCTAGATCCAAACCTTCACATATGGCTAGTATAACTTTGGGCAGGTTTGGGTTAGGCTTTTGCCAAAATTTAGGCTCTTGAGATGCTCTCATTCCATCTAGAAAGTGTTGCAGGGTGTTTCTCATCTCAATCCTTCTTTGGGATGATCACTTCTGGAGCTTGAATTTGAAATTTTTAATTAAAATGTAACTAGGGTTTCTTTTTTGAATTTCTAACCAGTCTAGATTCAAAATTGAGCTCGATGGGACTGCTTTGGACCTCCCTATTCCTTGGTTTGGCACAAGAAAGGGTGGCAATTTTCAACCCAACCCGCTAACCCACCCAACCCAACCATTAATTGATGGATTGGGTTGTATCCATTTAATTCCGGGTCACTGCGGGTTGGGTAACCCGTTATCTTTGATGATATTTTGACTCACTGGTTCCATACCCTAAATTATTCACACTGTACCCCCTCTCTCTCTACAGATCACTCGCATTTTCCCAACCAGAATATCATCCATCATGTGTGCCAGTGGGATCTTCTCCATTACCCATTTTGAGGTCTTGATCGGTGACTTTGAGCCATTTCACACGAAGAAGAGATCGCATCTTGCATGTGAGAAGGAGCCAATGGATCCACCACCACCATAGATTAATACTTCAACTATAGTACCTCTGTTTTCATCCGAGAACCGGAGGAGTAAAAGGATTGATGAGCTAAAACTTGGATAATTACGAGACTTAGATAACAACACCACAAATCAAGACCTCAGCTGTAGTAAGAACTGGAGGGGGTAAAGAGTTCACATCTCCACCCCACAACGTCTCATAGCACATTCCCATAGTGTATTGTAAACATCTTCTAATAATAGTATCAGAATTGATGATGTCATCATCAAGAGATGTTCCCAATACACGGTGGAGATGTGCTGTGAAACGTTGTGGGGCGGCCCCTTGTGGAACGGAGATGTGAACTCGGGGGTAAAAGGCCCAATGAGCCGGAGCTCATATAATTTTGTGGCTCATTGTCAGTGACGGGTGGGAACTCTCTGACTTTACGATTGTGGACAGGCATAAATTATCACTTGTTTCTCTCAAAAATTGAGCCCAAAAAGTGTCTGGTGATTATTCCCAAAGATAGAATTAATAACTAAATTCTATACGTTGTGCGCTAGCTTTCATCGTGTCCTTCTATTTTTTTTTTTATATTTTGTTATGCTTTTTGTAATTTTGTTGGCTTGTTTTTTCATTTTTTGTGTTTTCTATAATTTTTGTTTTATTATTCTTATAATTTTTATTTTTTCATCTTTTTATGTTTTAATGAATTGGGTTAAGACAGATTTGGGTTCAAACCAACCCATTTATTTTTCTCTAAATAGGTTATTAATAGATTGAAGCTCAACCCGAACCTAAACCATCCAAACTCACCCAATTGTCACCCCTACTTGGAAACCATTCTATAATACATATACATTTCTAGTGCACTGAAATTTGGAGAAGGGTAATGCCTGGCATCATTTATAACCTAGGTTCAATCTTGTGAGATTGTGAAATTGCTTATTAGAAGTGGTAGTTACCTACCGCTCACATTGGAGTTGTTTCCGTCCATCCCAGTCATTGTCTTCATACCGGTTGCTCCATTGAGCAAGAAAAGCATAATGCAACTGAAGGGTTGTGCTTTTGAATCTCAAAAAGGAGAGTCAAAATGGGGTATCCATAAATCCCAGACCAATAAATGAATGTGCAAAATCAATCTCGAACCAAAGGCTTGTAATAACAAACCCAATTCCCTAAATGTATTAGGTAATTGCAAACAAGTTCAAAGGTGCTGATTTCTAGTAGGTTGTAGCGGAGACTTGGAGTCGAATTAAGGTTCAAAATTTTGTTATTCAATATGTATCATGAGTGGGTTATTGATATGTCTATTTTAAGGACAAAAATATGTTTGTTTTACATGTTAAATTAACTCATTTTCCACCCCTGAAATTTTAAAACAAAAAAAAAAGAAAAAGAAAAATAAAACATGTGTGGTTCAGAATATCGATACACCTCTTCCAACGTATTGGGTGTATCAATATTTTGAACCTTGTGTTGAATGTTGCCTTCACTACCCCTGTTGTGTAGCCCCATGGAACCGATAATAAAAAAACAAAATTAAAATTCCAGAAGTGTTTATACTTTCTTCATGGTAATTTTAACTTTATATTTATTGTGATCATTGTTCACAATATCAATAAGATCTGGTGAAATTTCCACCATTTTGCTAGATGGCGGTATGAAAATTTTCAAGGATTTTTTTTTTAATATCTTTGATAGTTTGTTGATATTTGGACAATATTTTAGATTTCATTACTAGATTATATATTTAAAATTGAAAATTTTAGAATGTTATTAGAAACTTTTCAATTTTTCCCTAAATTCATCATAATTTACAAAATTATTTCCTAAAAGAACAAATAAGCATTCGATGATTGGCTTACCATTTAAATATAATTCAATGGAAGGCATACAACTACAAAAGAGGATTCTCGATCTAAGAAAAACATAGTAACAAAATGTTCAAACTCTTCAGTCTATGTTTGGTTGCAATACAAATAAATTTGCGCTGATGTAAAACCATGGCAGTGCATATGATTTGAGTGTAAATTCTGACATATTTTTGTTTCAAATTTTAGCTTATTTGTTTTGTTGCAGTACAATGAAGTAAATTAAGACATAACGTAGAATAAATTAAATCCAAAACAAAATTAAACTAGAATTTACATTTTTTACATGCATTTGTACTATTGCACTGCAACCAAACACAGCCTAAATGTGTGATTGTAGTTCTTCCCGTTAGGCCTGCAACCTAGACCAGGTTAGCCTAAAACCCTGACTTGCTTATTTTTAAGTTTGGGTTAGGGTTAGAGTTGAAAAATCCGTCTAACTTGGCTTATTTTTTATATGTATAATCAACGTTCAAAATATTGATACGCCTGATATGCTGATAGGGGTGTATCGGGTGTTTTGATACCTTTTTTTTTTATTTTTTTCAAAACTGGTTCAAGGGGGCCGATTTAGGACTCCTCCACCCTCTGAACCGGTCAAACCCCCCAATACACCCACTGTAAGGGCGTATCGGAGGAGTCCCGGAACGATACTTATCGGCCGATACGGACCGATACATATTGATACTTTGAACCTTGTATATAACTATTATATAAACATGCATTTATGTATACAATAACAATATTGTTATGGTAATGTTAAAACTAAATTGACATCAACCCTTGAGTGTACACAATGAGAGCACTCATGAGAGGTAAAGAAATCCGGTCAACCCAGCCTAGCCCAACCAAACACAAAAAACTTCGGTTTGGGTTAGAGTTGGGGTTCAACATCTTAAGTTATTTTATAGTTGACAACTTGATATCACCAAATTGCAAACCTTTTAATGATTCCTTAAAAAAAATATTTATTTTTTAAAATTTACAAGATCTCAGCAAAATTAATAAAATATCCCAAAAATTTCACCATATCTACAATGCATATCCATCAATATCAAAATTACTAATCATGATTCTAATCAATGTAATTGTGGATTTATGAGAGATTCCTTAATGTATTCATACCTATCAAAATCTTTCACCAACTCCATGCATATCAAAAAGCGTACGTGAAACAGAATTGCTGATAAGCTTTAGAATATCGATATGTTTGTTGTACCTTGGATTCATCGTTTTGCAAAATTAATCCAAAAAAAAAAAAACAATTTTGAAACTAGATAGCCAATTATTGAGATGCTGAATGGGACATTTTTTTGTAATTTGACATCTTTTCAGCATTTTGCGTTCAGCAACTTATCAAACACCTTAATATATCCACCAAAAAATAGTCTAACACCACGATGAAACATAAGTGGAAAACAATGAAATTACTTTTCAAGGCTAATTACAAGCAGAAAATTGTTCAATCTGAATTAAATTTAAGTAGAAACGAAAAGGTCGGAGCGAATAATACTTGAATAAATTCCATGTCAATAGACTGCGTAATCTTTATTCATACAAGCTCCGAACCTCGAAGCTAACATACATCAGTGAAACCTTAACCCTGTTCACTTGCACCATTTTTGTTTTTTCCTTTCGGTAATCAAGCTCACACTTAAAAAACCTTAGAAGTAGATAAATTGAACGAATATTTCAGCAATGTTTTCTTCCATTTTCTTTTTCCATTATTTTGTTAATTATGTTGCAGCGCAAGTCTGACCGTCCAAACTTCTGCAGAGCACAACCTTAACCCTTGAAAAATGTCAACCTTTCATGTTTCTGTTCTCTTTCTTAAGGCTCTACAGAGTAGCAGATGTCGTAGCTAACCCATTACTTACTGCTGCCATTGATTGCGGTTGTTACCCATCATGTTTGAACCTCGACCAACACCAGAACCTCCTCCATATGGACCACCTTGGGGATAATTAGGGGCACCGGCTCCATAACCACTGCCACCTCCTCGAGGACCTGCACCAGACATGCCGCTTGCAGCATATGGAGGGCCACGACCTTGAGGTGGATATGGACCACTGTTGTAACCTCCACCTTGGCCCCCACGATTTGGGTGGTTGTATCCCCCACTAGGGTTTCCACTCTGGGGATATCTGCTTGGTCCTCCTGATGGTCCACGAGGTTTACCATAGTGGTGGGTAGGCCCTGCAACAACTGGAGGCTGGGAGCTATGCATGGGCTGGTTAGGTCCTGGCCGAAGCTGAGGGTGCACTTGCCCTGTTTGCTGGATGGGGGGAAGGCGTGCATGCAACTGTGGGTGCTGTAGTTTCTGTCGCTTTGCTGTTTCTTCATGTTGACGCTGCTGTTGGCGCTTTTTCTTTGTCTGAAATTCATGGGATGACTCGTACTTGGGCAAACTGCGTAAAACACAATATAAATTATAGATCAAAACAATGCCATCTTAGCACACGACCAGGGAAGCAAGTCACAATTAAGATATAGGAAGAGCAGAGCAAAAGATGATTTGGCCTTTGGGAATCAAACCTCTTGGGATCACAAGGCAAGGGATCAGTCCAGAAATACTCCGCATCAAGCGCATCCTTGGCAGATATTCTCTATATTAAAAGGGAAATTCAAAAGAGTCAAATATTGATCATGCCATTAAATAGAAAGTTGGTAACTTTACCTTCTTCAAAAAAAATCTAGGGACAGGTATTGTATCTGATAAATGATACCTGAGATGGATCGAGAGTCAGCATTCTCTCGAGCAACTCCAAAGCATGACGATCAAAACTGGAAGATAAAAGGGAATGATAGTTGTGACAAGAATTTCTCAGACAAATAAATCATGTAAAGCCTCTAATGCAATTTAACAAAATAAAAAAAAAATGAAAATTTCATGCTAAATTAGATATCTGTTTACTTACTGTCTGAAGACCTCCCTGAGACGTCTCTTCATTGGCCTAGTTGGCTTGAAATTGTTATACCAAGGTATCTTCGAGACTCCAGGCCAGTTGACCTCATCTGGGGCTCCACACAACTCAAATATCTTGTTCAATTGATCTGGCTACAGTAAAAATGAAAACAACTTTTACCTAACACAGTGGCTTCCAGGCATGTTTAATACAGTATACACATCAGCAACAGGAACTATACAAGAGAAACCATAAATTCTTGGGGAAAAAACATACTAATGAAGGTAGGAGTAATCCAAAATAGGACATCCAGAATTCACATATTTTCAGAAGATCATTCTATAATAATAATAATTAATTTTTTGGTTGGTAATCTTTAACCTTGTTAATAAAGAGAAACAATGGTTTACATACAAAAACATGCCAAGCATCCCTAAAAAAAAACTGAATATTTGTCCCTTGCTTGGCCATAGCATCAGCCAAACAGTTTGCTGGTCAATAAACACAATGGAGATTGATTACTAATTCCCTCTTCAACACATTTTTTTGATAGCAAAAAAAAATATTAAGAAAAAACTGAGAATAAATAGTCAGGTCAAAAGATGACACCAAAAAGAAAACAGGAAAGAACTAAAAGCTAGGTATACAATCAACCCCTTCATGGAACCACTTGAAATTTTATTCTTGAATGTTTGACTGTCTTAGCATTCACATGATTTGATATTGGATCTTCCTATAATATTCAATTGGTTATTAAGAAAGAAGACTTTTTAAATAAAACTATACTAACATATGCACATCCAAAAGACCATAATATAACATAACATGCACTCATAGGCATTTCCCCAAGTATGTGAAGCAGCAACAAGTCCTCAGAGAAATGTGAGCATCATGTGGGTACAATTGGGTGGGGTATTAAAACAGACAAAACTCTGTTTTACACTTATATGATCAAATAGAAATGAAGTAATAACTTCTCCAAGATATCTTTAAAATATGGAGGCCATATATACAAAACTACTATTCCTGAATACTACAACAGTGTGGAGCTAACTACTTTCACCAATGGCCATGGAAATGTTCATTGCAATACAATGCGTTGGACCTAATTGGCTAATTGAATAGTAGTATTATACAAATGATGACATCACAAAATTAACTGAAGCAGACAACACAGAAGTCATCATCTAATATGTATATGATCATCTAGCAAATAGGAACAACTTAGTGGTACCGGAGTTTCTAGGAAAAAAAGTCCCTAAAGGTAGAAAAACTTTTTTTTCGACAATGGGAAACAGTTTTCACATTAAACAGAACAAAATGGTGAAACAGGATCATGTAGCCAACCCCATATAATTTTTTTTATAGGAAACGGTAACTTTCATTAGATAATTAATAAGATTACAGGCTTACTTAGACAATGGGAAACAGTTTTCACATTAAACAGAACAAAATGGTGAAACAGGAGCATGTAGCCAACCCCATATATTTTTTTTTATAGGAAAAGGTAACTTTCATTAGATAATTAAAAGGATTACAGGCTTACCACCCACAAAAAGGATGGAAAGAGAAAATCAAAAACTTACAAACAGGCCCAAAACAAAGCCTCCCTAGTAACTCCTTGCTTAGCTAAAGTGTCAGCCATTCCATTTGCTGACCTTCTTACCCAATTAAAGTGCACCCCAATCTCCCTTGCTAAGCTAATAATCTCTCTTAGAGGCTGTCTAAGAGACCACACTCCCAGGTTTCCAGTTTGCATCCACCCTATTACCAGCTTGGAGTCTCTTCCACTTCTAATTGCTGCAAGCCCCATTGTTTCGCCAATCCCAAACCTTGAAGTAAGGCCATTACTTCTGCCCTTAATGAGTTCCCCACCCCAATTGGGCCCAAGTAAAGGGCCAAAACTTTTCCTTCCTCGTTTCTGTACACACCCCCAACTCCCGACGGACCTAGATTACCCAAGGAGCTTCCATTAAAGTTTAGCTTCACCTTGAACTGAGGCAGTGGTACCCAACAATCTTGTACTGCAGGGGAGGAAGGCGAGGATATAGCTATAACACTCCAATTTCTAACTAAGTCCGCTGAGGAAAAATCCTTGAAGAGATGTACTTTCACAAGTGCTTCTTTGGATTTTTCTTGCCCTAGAAAGATCCTATTGTTTCTCTCTTCCCAAATTGACCATAGGATGGCAGCTCTTGTTATTCTCCACATTACCCTGCCCACTTTCCTTGGTTGTCGGAAGAAGCTAGAGTCAAAAAGGTTCAGCATACCTGGGGGGGGTTCCATCTGCCAATCCCATATAATTAGGACAAGGCTTGGATGATGATGGTGATAATTGGAAACACTTCACTGAAAATAGAAGATTATTAATTGCTACCAGACTTTATATGAATGGTTAAACTGGCAAGACTAAATAACAGAGTCAAAGTAATAAAGTTATTGTTTACAAAGCTTGTAACTCATATCTTCGTGTACAGTTCATAGTTTATTGAACGAAGGACAACCATCAAGAGTAACTGAAGAAAAATAAATATTGTTTTTCATCAGTAACAAAGAATTTTATTAAGATAAGAAAAGATAGTAAATTAAAAGATACAACTAGCAGCTCCCCCAGAGCCAGTCCCACCCTCAACTATAAATCAGTGAAGCCCAATACAATTGTTCCCAACAAACCCCTGTTTGGCTAGGGTGTCAACAAAACCATTTACTTATCCATTAACTGATTTAAAGGAAGACTCTATCTCACTTGCAAACTTTCTAATTCAGTGCTTGTCTATATATCCATCTCCCATGGCTGCTGTTTTTCAACCATCCCACCACCAACGTAAAGCAAGGTTCAAAATATCGATACACCCGCTACGCAGGTAGAGGCGTATAGGGCAGTATCGGTTGCTTTTTTTAGTCTGTCCACCCCCTGAACCGATCAAAACCCCGATACACCCTCTGTAGGGGCATATCAGGAGGCTCCCGATATGATGCGTATCAGCCGATACATGTCGATTTTTTAACCTTGATGTAAAATACCTCCAACCATCATTTTCCTTAAATTTAGATGTTTGGTAAGCCTTAGGCCTTGCAATAAAGCAACAATTTTGGCTGTTAGATAATTTCCATATCCCATGAGGCCCGAGAAAAAGCGCTATTATAGATCAATTTCCATCGCTAAAAACTCCAATAACTGAAGGTCTGGATTGCCCTGAAAACTGCCATCGAAGTTCAATTTTATCCTGTTGCTTCCTCAAGGAGCTCATTGCACTTGATGGATAGGCTTCAATGTGGAACAATGATGCTACCACTCCCCACTCTCTATCCATGTCATCCACTGAAAAGCTTTTGAAAATTTTCAAGGTTTTCACCCAATGGATTTGCTTCAAGGTGATGCTTTCATTAATTGCCTCCAAAGATCTATATTGTTTGTTAAACCAGTTATTCCTTTCCTCTCAAATTGTCTATAAAATTGCAGCTTTAGTGTCTCTCAACATCACTTTGCCTCTTGTTTTTAGCTGAACCATAAACCATAGCTGAACATCCCATGATTCTGAGTATCCCAAAGCCAATATGATAATACTTGACCAAGTCACAAAGCCAATATGACAATAAAGATGTACTATATAGCTATCTCTAGAAGCGAAATGCTAGGCAGAACCTCCCAAAGGTTGTAGTGTCTCAACAAAATTAAGGATTCAAGGTCTGACAAAAGGACTTCAACCCATCAACCTATAGCAGCATCTCCCAGAAAATGTCAGGGTACTTGTACAAAATGCTTCAATGTAATTCTGCATATTGTAATCCACTTGAGGCATAGATAGCAGATTCTATAACAGAAATCCTATGTGCACCCAGGAAAAAAGAAAAACAAAATCTTCTGGCAAAAATGGAACCATAAAACAAGTTCACAATACCGGGGAAAAAACAATAACTACATACATTGAGGGGAAGAGTACCTCATCTTTTCCAGGAAATATTGGTTTGCCATGCAAAAGCTCAGCAAAGATACAACCAACAGACCACATGTCAACGGCTGGGCCATACTTTGTGGTTCCGAGCAGCAACTCAGGAGGTCTGACAAAATCATTATGGCCTAAGAAAAATGTGCACATTCTCCGAAGGGCAAAAAGACAGTTATTACCATGGTATCCAAAATGGCATCTTTACCTATACCATAAAGTAATAACACGATTTGTAAGATGTCCATTATGGTCATTGGAAAACGACCGAGCAAGACCAAAATCTGCAAGCTTAAGATTTCCCTCATTGTCTATTAATAGATTAGAACCTGCAGACACAGATGCAAGACAAATATCAACCTATCGGCAAAAGCTTAAGATCCAAATCCAATAAATGATATAAATTGGCCGAATATCGACCTTTTATGTCACGATGTAGTACTTGATTAACATGACAGTAATGAAGCCCAGTCAATAGCTGCCTCATATAACACTGATAAGAAAGAGTGTTACTTTATTGCCAACTATAGGTGGACATAAGTTATAAAATTTCATTTTTAAAAGCTTTCGCTTATAATACCTTGATCTGAGGAACTGAAAATCGCATTCCAGGGCGATCAGCAAGACCCGTCAAATCATGATCCATGTACTCAAAAACCATGTAGATGCCACCTTTGTACTTGTTACCATCTTTACTCAAAAAATAAGATGAATATCAGAAGTTTTATTCCTCAAAATCATAATAATATACACCATACAAGGGAAAGTTCAAATTCAGGTAAACTACGTGACTGACATCAGATAATATGTGCAACAAAGAGAAACTATACAATTAATTGAAGCATCGATAAGATGGCAAGTAAATTAATGGTTGCAGTCATGAGCTGCAATAATCAAATTGCATGTAACATCAAACTACTCACCTGGTCTCCCTTGCTCATCCTTTTCAGGGCCTGGAAAACAACCATAAAGTTAATATCAAAATAAGAAGCACATAGATAGTTTATTTCTTGTGTGAAAGACAAGAAAATTTTAAAGAAATTCAGAAAGGAGAATGGCATGCCTGGAGATGTAACAATTTCCTTCAACTTAATTACATTCTCATGATGTAGCTTCTTTAGAATTTTAATTTCACGTATGGCAGTAATTGGGAACTGCATATAATAGTGAAATATCAGACATATTCCATTCTAAAATAAGAAAAAAAAATGATCTAATAACTTCACAACTGTCTGTAGCTTTTATCGTCAAAGTCTAAATTCATGATTGACAGATTTGACATATCACGAAATGAAAAATCAACAGAAAATAGGGACAAGAAGCATACACCCTCTCTTTCATTGTCCATTCGTATCTTTTTCAATGCAACAACTTCCCCTGTTCTGATTTCCCTAGCCATGTAGACTTGGCTGCAAACACAAAAAGATAAAAGTTTCTAAATTCATGAAATCTGACATAAAAGCAGCTGGAAAAAAAAATATTTCCAAGAGACCATGTTGTGAGATAATTTGGCAGTATTCCAAAACAACATACTATATTTTCATGAAATAAAAAGGATGCATTTACATGATAAAAAGAGATTTAAAAAAATAAAATGTAACACCATAATAACACACATCATAAAAAGAAACAAAACTTATGAAAGTGACAGATTAAGAAATGCTGGTGGCTCCAATACAAAATACAAATTACTCACTTTTCCAGGCATTTACAGACAGGAATAGGACAGGAAACTTCAAGTTACTTATCAAAATAAGACAAAAAATCTACAAATTCCAGTCGTATGCATTGTTTAAAAAACAACCAAACAGGATGTGCCGGATTCTGATTCTCTCCATATAAGCCGCCAAAAAAGTAAATAACTATCAAGGAACATCCTACAAATTGGGGAGAAGTTCCCACTACAAAAGGCTACCCTACCTATTATAATGACCAAAATATTAATTCAAAATTGGATATAAGTGCCAGCCTGTAGTAAGTTTATGTTAGTGAAAATTTTGTGCAGTGGGAGACAAATACATCAATATCTCTTTTATGTACCAGTCTGCAACCCTGAAGGATCCCTTAATGTTCTTGCTCAGTATTTTCAGTATATGTTATTTTCCTCCCACAATGAATTGGTATGATGATGGATAAATAACCCTTGCCGTATGTCTTCTGGAGGAATCTGTTTTGCCCTTTTCTTTTTGCCATCTTGGAAGGAGGCAATTAACTTCATAGTAGCGGATAGTGTTAAACTTAGACATTTGAGGACAAAACATAATTAAAGGAATTCTACACCAATGCGATTTCAAATTCAACTCCCAACACTTCATTGGAAACTAGAAGGCCTTAAGCTGTTCAGTTGTCAATGAAAGAGAACATTAAGGAAAAAGTTGCCTCACTTAAACCAAACATATTATCTTCACAAGAAAACCCTAACAGAGAGAACTAGCATCTGCTTCAACCTATAGAAAATTCAAGCAACAGAACAATCTCTGAGAAAATGAATATATACTTGATAAAAGTCAGAAACACTCTGCCCAATCCCGTTATTGGGTACCCAGAGCTTAATTTTGACAAATCAACTCATAGATGGACCGGTTGTTAGATTATCGAGTACATATAAGCACTTCCAACGATCTAAAATCAACTTCCCAAGGGAACAGACAAATCAGTAAAGGCGAATTGCAACAGATACAGTAATCTTACTTAGACAAGTAAAAAATCGGATTGTGTTTATTTCTTTCTACTTTTCCAACCTACCCATATGTTCCTTCACCAATCTGCTCCAATTTCTCGAAACAATCAACGCTTCGAGATCCCCATGACGGGGATTCAGTCAAATTGAGTTGCCCAGGGGCCGCTATAGACATGGCTCACCTTCTCCTGTACCGAATAAACGATAACGACAACTGCAAACATATGCAACTAAACATTTAAACAATAAAAAACTACGAATTATACGGGCGTAACTCGAAAACCTAATACAGAAGAAAGAGAACTCAATAATTCAGTAAGAAAAATAACACCCAGAATGAAAACAGGCTCGAATTGGGAATTGGGAAATCAAAACCGAAAGAAAAAAACGATAAATTAAAATAAGGGAAATATCGATAAAACGAAAAGGAAATTAAGGTTTATATGAAAGGGAAAGGAGAAGACTTACTTAGAATAGGTGTGTCTACGACGAGCGAAGGTAGTAAGGAAATTGATGTTTCCAAGCAAAACAGCCGAGTGATAGTGAGATCTTATCAGATAGAAGGAACAGGCATAACGCGCTGAGCCAGATGAAAGCAACCGCAACAAGTTAGGGTTTTTATGTGAAAAAGGAAAGGAGACTACTTAGCAGAATAGGTTCGTCGACAAACAAGCGAAGGCAGTAAAGGAAAAGGAAATCGAAGTTCCAAGGCAAAACAGTCGAGTGATGCCGTGATGGTGAGTTGTATTCAGATAAACGGAACGGGCATAACGAGCCGAGTCCAAGTAGTTTGGGTATCAAAACGGGCCCAGGCCAGTAGTGATCATGGACCGAGGCCGGCATTTGGGCCTATGATACAAAATTCTATGTTTAATATGTGATGGCATTTTTTTGGTGAAAATAAATAATAAATTTTATTTATATGTCATATTATATGTGTAAAATATATATGTTATAGTTTATATAAATATAAAATATTATGTACAATATATTATATGTATCATTATAGATAATAATAATATCATATAATAGAAAATGAAACATATAATAAAATGTAGGGAAAATTCCCGATCAGTACCATGTACTTTGGCTCGGAGTAACAATTTGGTCTCCGAACTTTAAAATGTGACAATCCAGTACTTGAACTTTCAAAATGTGACAATCCAGTACTTGTTGTTAATCAGTCCATTAATCAGCCGTTAAATGATATTTGAAAAGTAAAAAATGCACTTTGAGTGCCATCTAATTCTCTTTATCAACCATCCAAACGTTGACAAAAAACTGAACAATGCCAAATCCTATCCTCTTCTATTCAAAAAAGTTGGTGGTTATTTAGAAGAATATATAATTTGGGATTGTTCATTTTTTTTTCAATGTTCGGATGGTTGATAGAGAGAATTAGATGGCATTCATAGGGCATTTTTGACTTTTCAAATGTCACTTAACAGCCGATTAACAGACTAGTTAACAACAGGTATTGGATTGTCACATTTTGAAAGTTCGGGTACTGGATTGTCACATTTTGAAAGTTCGGGTTCTGAATTGTCGCATTTTAAAGTTCGGGAACCAAATTATCACCCGAGCCAAAGTACAAGGTACTAATCATGAATTTTCCCTAAAATGTAATAATATATTGTAGGTTGGGCTTAAAGTATTGGCCCTGATTGAACCAGGGTCTAAACACAAAACCTAGGCCCAAGCTCAAAATGAGTTCACATTAATGCTCCATAGGCACCTCACATGTACATCTTAGCGTGTGCATTGGGAGAATTTACATCAATACCCCATAGCACATCCCAACAGTGTATTGGGAACTTCTCCCAATGACAACTTTGGGAGATGTACTCAATGCATGCTAATTACATGACAATTTTGTTGTCGCATTTTTTTTCGTTTGCACTTCATGCATTTGTACTAGTGCAAATAAAATTATACTGCAACCAAACGCTGCCTTTGTGTCTGGTTCAACTAGGTTCCAATTGCCAACGGATAAAAGCCCGTTAACCTTAGCACAAATTTAAAATGCTAACTTCTAGATGAGAACCTTAGCCTGTTAACCTTTGTTCTCATTAGCAGGTGCTCATTAGTAGGTTCATGCTTCCCCACAGGATGCGAACTGTGAGACCAAAGTCTCGTACAACCCAACACTTAGGCTCTGTTTGGTTTGTGGGACCCCGATAGAAAAACTCGAGAAACCACTGTTACCACTTACCATCGACCACGAATTGAGGAGGCATGGGCCGAGAAAAATGAACCAACGACAACAGATAGAGGAGGGAGAGAACCAGTGCCTTCCCCGTTACCATCGCACCATTGTTACCATCGAACTAGCAAGGATCTACTTTCTTAGCAGATATGCTTTTCATCTTCCTCCCTTTCTTAGCGATCTCTCGTCTTCATCACCTTCTTTTTTCTATTCTTCCCGTCTTCCCACTCCTATCTCTCTCTCATTCCCTCATTTTCCCTCTCTCTCTCTCTCTCGCTCTCTCTCTTATCACCATTGCTTTCTCAACCCTACTTGCTTTACTTCAAATCCCAAGTTCATCCTCTATTATAGAATAAGTGTGAAGAAGCATATTTAGAGTGATAAAAATGACAGGACCACTACGCGGTGGTCAATTAAGCACTGGCAGAGGAAGGGGGACTGTCAGTGCCGGAGGACCTCTTCGGAGCTTCAGTCATGGAGTTCTCTATCTCTCCCTCCATCTTCCTCTTCTTTCTTCTCCCTCACCTTCTTCTTCCTATTCTTCCCGTCTTCCTCCCTTTCTGGCGATTTGCTTTCTCAACACTCCTATCTCTCTCTCATTCCCTCATTTTCCCTCTCTTTCTCTCTCTCTCTCTCTTTGATTGTCACTGTAGTCATGGAGCTCTCTTCTTCAGCTTACATGAATCTGGTGAAGAACCAGCTCGTAACAATGTTTTCCTATTATTTTCCCATATATAAAACTAAACAATGAAAAGGTAAATTTTTACACTTTCTCATCCCATCCCACCCAAATCTTCCCACAAACCAAACAGAGCCTTAGAGTCCGTACATCTTTTTTAAGAGAGTTCATACATCAATACACCTTGTAAAGTTTATACATCCTGAGGAGATAGAGACTCATGGACACAATTTGTCGTTGAAATCACCGAGTACCTGATGGAATCTGTGTTTTTGTTTGTGTGATTATAACTAATTCTATATAAAGATGTTAGAAGTTCATCGAGTATCTTTAGTTCAACGTTCCACTCTTCTTCTATATACTAGTAAAAATAATATTATTATATATAAATATTATCAAGCTGGGTTTGGGCTCAAACTAGACTTATATGGTAAAGCTTGAGCTTGAGCCAACATGCTTAAAACTTTGCCTAAGCCTGATTTAATGGGCCAGGCCGGTCTTGGCTAGACCATTAGGTTACCTGGCCCATGAACATGTCTAGTCCCAACAATGAGATGTAAATCAGTCTTCTAAAACTGATGTAAACTTGGAAAAATTAGAGAGAAAATAGGAAGAAAAGAAGAGAACAATAGTACAAGAGAAAGAAGATGGAGAAAAGAGGAAGAAGAAGAAGAGTTTGAATGTCTCTTCACTCCCTTCTCTAATCCTTTTACTAAACTTCAATCTTAACATAATTACAAGTATACCCTTAAGTGCGTGGCCAGCTAGGCAATAACATAAAGAGAACTAGCAAAAGAAATAATAGGCCCATTAAGATAGGCCTGTTAGCTAACAAATAAATAAAACATACTATAAGAAAAGATACTAGGGCCCATTCGACCTAGTCTCTTTACACTCCCCCTTAAGCTGAGCATAGATGTCAATCATGCCTAACTTGCTTATATAGTGTGTCAGCTTCCCTCTCGGAACTCCCTTGGTCAAAATATCAGTCAGCTACTCTTATGAGGTGATGAATGACAAACAAACTTCTCTTGAGGAAACTATTTCCCGTATAAAATGTCTATCAACCTCAATGTGCTTAGTTCTATCATGTTGAACAGGATTATGTGCAATATTGATAGTTGCTTGGTTGTCATAGTAGAACATTATTGGCATTTCATAGTCAACCCCCAATTCTTCCAAAAGGGATCGTAGCCACATTAATTCTAACACATCATGTGCCATAGTTATATATTCTGCTTCAACAGAGGATCTGACAACTATAAACTATTTCTTACTCCTCCATGAAACAATGTTCCCTGCCACCAAAGCACAATAACCCGAGGCGGATCTCCTATCATCAATATATCTTGCCTAATCAGCATCAGTGTATGCTTCCAGCTTCATGTGTCCATGTTTGGCACATAGAATACCTTTCCCTGGAGTACCTTTCAAGTAACACAGAACTCTTTCTGCAACAGCTAAATGAGTATCTCTAAAAGAATGCATAAATTGACTAATAACACTCACTGCATAGGAAATGTCTAGTCGAATCATGCAAAGATATAACAACTTCCCAAATAGTCTCTGGAACACTCCCCTATCAAATAAAAGTTCACCATCTGTAGTAGAAAGCTTATGATTGGGATCAATAAGAGTGGATGCTAGTTTAGCATAGACTTGTTCATGGGCCGGGTGGCCCGGCCTGGCCCGACCCCCGGACGGGCTTAAATAGTTTTTTTGGCCCGCGTGCTTAACCTCGGGCCAAAAAGCCTGGCCCGCATAAAATTTGAGCCGGGCTCGGGCTTTGCCAAAATAGCCTGGCCCGAGCCCGGCCCGGCCCGGCCCAACCTATAGTTAAACCTAAGTAAACCCGGTCCGATCTATAGTTAAACCTAAGTAAAAACCCTATGTGATGTCTATTTGAATAAATTTTTTGATTTGTGAAGGTCATTGATTCACTTGTAGGCTCATTGTTCATTTAAATAGGGGAAAAAACATCTAAATTAAAATAAAAAATGTCCATTTGAATAGGGAAAATTTTGAATTTCTTTTATTAGGTCGGGCTCGAGCTCGGGCTTCAGGCTTTTATCAGGACCGGGCTCAGGCCCAAGTTATAGGCCTGTTGGTCGGGCCGGGCTCGGGCTCGGGCCTAATAGTTTTCTGTTAATAAAGAGTCAAAGCCCGGCCTGGCCCGACCCATGAACAGGTCTAGTTTAGCACCAAGTTTACCAGTCTCAGCAAGGAGGTCAAGGACATATTTACATTGAGAAATGAAGATACCATCCTTAGATCTATCAATTTCAATGCCCAAAAAATATCGGAGATCTCCTAAATCCTTGATCTAAAATTCAAAGTTAAGAAATCTTTTGAATTTACTAACCTCTTGGGTGTCATTTCCCGTGACCACAATATCATCAACATAAACTATCAAAAAAGACACCAAAGAGCCACTTCTTTTCAAGAATAGGGTATGATCAGATTGAGTTTGTGTGTAACCAAATGAGACAAGAGCAGCCCTGAACCTCTCAAACCAAGCCCGAGGAGACAGTAAATGGATTTCTGCAGTTTACACACCTTCTCCTACATTTCCTTTCCATACATCCCTGGAGGCAAAGACATATAGACCTTTTCATGCAGATCTCCATTCAATAAGGCATTTTTAACATCAAGCTGGTGGAGAGGCCAATCAAAAATAGTAGCCAAAGATAACAAAACCCGGACTGATGTCATCTTAGCCACATGAGCAAATGTCTCAAGATAGCCAATACCATACATCTGAGTGTAGCCTTTAGCAGCCAGCCTGGCCTTAAACCTCTCAATAGAGCCATTAGAGTGATATTTAATGGCAAATACCATTTACAA